AAAAGCTTATCAGTAATAAATCTCCAGTTTTGTTTCTTAAAGCCGTATCTCCGTTGTGCCCTGTTTCAGCATACATACCATACACCATCAGGGTTCCAACAAGAACACTCCTAACAGAAAATCCTCCCTATACGACTAGAACGCCCAACTGCATCACAATAGACCTAATTGGCTAACTCACCCCACACTACCTAGACAAAGCTTGCAGAGGAGTAACATTGCAAAATAGAGTCAAAATGAATATTGTAAATACAATTCCAAGGTAGCTTCAAGACACTAATTATTGCCCACAGCCCCCTTTCTTTCTAAATCTTCACCCCCTGGTAGAAACTTTGAACACTTTAACAACAAAAAGAAAAACAGTGTCATCTCACAAGTTTGGGTCTGGGGAGTGTACCCAGACCTTACCCTACATCGGAAGTCCAAAAAACGCATGACAAAGCACTCTGAAATAAAAAGGATCCTTACTTCAGTTTCACTAAAATTCCCAATTTTAACTAGACATTCAACAGGAAAAAAAAAACATCAGGAACATCTTAATCTCAAACTAGTTAGGGTCGGCTACAGGAATCATCTATATCCATTCAATTCTAATTGGATTCATGTCATCACAATACTCAACAACTAGCCTTACAAAACATAAACTAGATTCCTCTAAAACCAGAAGTTCTCTAAATCAAACAACATCCAGAGGGAAGTTCACACTTCCCAACCACATCTATTACTATAGCACCTTTCAACATAAAAAGGATGAAAACAATCTAAATTAATGTCAAAAACACAAATTTAGTATAACACTCAAGGAGGAATTAAGTCACACTTATCCAAAATATATATCCTACTCATCCCTAAGCCTACATTATTTGCCAATGACAAGCCTTACATGATCTCATTCCAAATGTTCTCACTTTAGTGAAGATTTACATAAGGGCCAAGAATTTGGTATCACAATTGCATGCACTAAACATTCTTGTGAGTGTGAGTGTAGTTTTAAAAATGTCTTCAAATCAAATTCTCAATTATGTATGGAACAAGACTTTTCTTGTTGCAACGACACTTGAAACATGGGGATTGACACAATTCAAAACCTTTATTTGAAACAATATGAACAAATCTTGTTGATACTTCTGTATGTTTGATGTACCATTTGAAGCTGTAGCAGTTACCTTGAATTCAATCTTAGTTAGAAAAAGAAAAGAAAAAGAGAAAAAAAAGAAAAAAAGAGATTTACATGCGATCCTGACTCATAGTACCAATTGTAGTGAAGACTTGACTATCTCTTCACATTCTTTGAAAAAAAAAAAAAAAAAAAAAAAAAAAGGAAGCAAGCAGGACAGAGATTTAGCTTAACTAGTGAAACTAAAGGTGAGAGCTGTAAGAGAAAATGAGGTGTGCGAATACTGTACCTGTACACGGTGACAAGTGTAGTTCGGAGGGCGAGGTGGAGGAGAAGACCGAAGACCGGAACCGCCGGTAACAGAATGAGGAAGTAGTGAGGATTCGTCGAATCTTCTTCTCTCCATTAGTTGAGAAATTGCTTTATCCCAAACCTTATGGCCGTTGTACAGAAGTGAGATTTCGAAGCGTAACTTACAGAGTTTCAGAACAACGCCGCCGTCGTTGCCGGTGACGGAAGGAGGAGCAGGGTAGAGAGGGAGGGTTTTTGAAACACTTTTCAAGTGTGACTTCGTTTTTTTTTTTTTTCCTCCTTCCGCTTCCTGTTTTTACTTCTTTATTAATTTTTATCTTTTGTTTCACATTTTTTCGGCTCCATGAGGTGGTATGACAATGTTGGCATAAAAAACTATTCAAAACTTAAAAGGGAGTGACAAAATATTCTTCGAAAAAATATCATATTTCATAAGGTGTGATGCAGATATCTTAATGTTATTATATTAGCAAAGTTATTTTGGAGTTTGATTTTACTTAAATCTTAAGTGAAAACCTAATATTTTATGTATTGAATTATTCTTTTGATTAACTTTTTTTTGTTGCGTTTTCATATTTTATTCATGCTAAATAAAATTAGCATTATATATGGCTAGTTTTTCAATATTTGCATAAAATTTAAAATCATTTGTACATTATTTAGTTGTTACTTGTGTTATTGATGTGGGAAAATATCTTAATGCATTATTTGTGAATTTATTATATAGCATTTTGTAAGATAAAATAAAATACAAGCACTTGTAATGCATGATTTAAAATAATAAAATGATCAAAATAATTCTAAACAATTTAAGAAATAAAACACATCTTTAAAATTATATTGTATAAGAAATTTTATAGTGTAAATATCTCTGCTTTACCTAGGTGTTATAATCTCAACCTAGTACATTAGTCAATTTTAAGAAGTACTAATATAATAAACTTAAAAAATTTAAAAACCTACTTAATAAGTAAATTTTGTTTTGTTATGAGTAGACAAGTTTTATGTTTATTGATAGTTTAATGCAACTCCTTTTTTTTTAATCGATACCGATGATATAAACAAACTTATTTAAAGAAATTTCGATAGAGTTTGGAGTTAAAAGAGCCACTTTTCCTAATTAAGATGTACAAAGAAACACTTCATTTTTTATTTAAACAAAACAGACAAGTCGCTCGGCCTTGAGCCTTGTCCTTAATTTTAACTGACGACCAAACGACCATATATCTAATTAATTAATTACTATTATTTTTCACTAAGTCGCTTATTCCTTTGCGATTTCACATTCAATTTTTAATCTTTGGTTTGATGTAATTTATGAGATGAAAAATATTGAAATATTCCTGTACTTCCAAGTTTCATAGCAAATAATAGACGGAAGACTCTAGAGCAGAAGTTAATGAACTTTGTTGACACGTTTGATCAACCATCATCTAAAACTCTTAGAGTACATTTGGTATGAAGGATAAGGGATAACTAATCTCGAGATTAATTTTAAGATGAATTTATCCCATATTCAGTTAGGATAAAATCATCGAATAACTTATCCTGAGATTAGTTATCCTCGGGACTGAAATTATAATATTATTTTTATCCCACATTAAAGATAGAATAATAATCAGAAAATAGCGTATTCCCCAATCAAACGAGTTCTTAGCTCTAACAGTCTCATTAGGGATTCCACATGCATTAAATAAATGCTTCCAAAGAATACATGCAATGTCTTTAACACCAAAAAAAATGATTAATGTAATATTATTGACTTCTTCTGTATAACCAGTATTAAAAATACTTTGGCTCTATTGACCTTAAGTTTGATGGTAAGTCATCGGTGGCTAATAACCCTAAGCATGAAGGAGAAAACTTGAAAGGAATGTTATTGAGTACGATATTTTTATATTAAATTTTCTTTTGATCAAGTGTATTTTGTTGATCCGTTGTTAATTGTTATTACTGGTATATATTTGAAAAAGAAAAAAATATCAGTTTGCCCAGATTATCATAAAATAATCACCCAAGGAATATAAAATATTTAAAAACTACTCTATGAGTTGACCCTATCATTCTTCAAACATTTTATTATTCTTTTTCTAAACCCTTTTTTATGTGAAATACTCTCTTCATCAAAGCTAGTTAATGACATTTCACTGTCATATCATGTAAGAGACGTTATTATGATCGCAATTTGTTTGAAGCACGAGAAGAGGTCAACATCTTAATCTCAAAATAAGATCAAATACCTGAAGTACCTGCAACAATTTTGCTTTACTTTCAGTAAAATCACAATTGATATAGGGAAGACAAAGAAAAATACGCCATAACGGATTCACAATTTAGAAGGTTCATCATGTCATGGTCTATTTTCACCAAGCATCAACCTAGCAAATTTTCATCTAAGGACTGCGTACATCCTAACCTTCCCAGACCTCCTACACTACACTGATTATATTGTTGTAGCAGACGATAGAGTCCAACTAAAAGTCCTGGAAGGAATTTAGGATATATCTTCAATGAAAAGGTCAAGAAAACATACCTCTCTTACCAAGAAAATTCAGAGGGAATTGAGATGTAACGAAAGATTAAATTATAAATGAAAGGTATAAAGTGGCACAAACATTCCATGTTTCCTAAAGAGGTTCAAAACTACCATTTCGGTCCCTCTATAACGAACAATGAACAGCCTAATTGAGGGAAAGGGGGAAGGGCAGAGAGAAATGCAGAAGATACTGATATATTTGTGCATCCAGCAGACTAAACTCAGCTTCAGTAGCTCAGTCCTCAATTAAGTTTTTTTTTAAGTTCCCTTGAAATGCAATGATGGTCTGGTGAAATACAACCGGATCCTTTGTTCATGTGAGCAAGGATCTAAGCACATACATAGATGTTCTTCATATTCCTTTCCTGGCCTTGCCTCTGTTCTAACAGAATCCAATATGTTCTATAAACAATACTGGTATGCTAGAACATACATGCAAGCTTTAATTCAAGTGTGACCGACAATATGTTATCCAATAAATCAATATACACTAAGTTGGGAAAAAGAAATTCAATCCTTTCCAAGCCACATAAGCATGATGCAGTTAATTCCAATAACCGAAAGAAGATGGAGCCAACGAATCCTGCTACATCTTAAGGAAATTATCTCCACAGAAATCAAGGATGAGGAAGTGCTTAAAACAATAGATTAACCACATACACAACGCGCATTTTCCGCACTTCATCATCAAGTGTAAGACTATATTGTCAGATGCATTAAGACTGAAAATATATAGCAAAATTTGGCTCCCTTTCGAGAACATCTAGCTACCAATCAACCAAATACTGCACTTCGACAATCTATCACCAAATATTCATAACTTCATGATTTCTGTTTAGTTGCATCATATGATTGCCAAAGAACTTTATGACGAGCAAAAACAGTATGGACATACATTCTTTGGAGGACAAGAAACATCACAAGGCAACATGAACATGTTATCTTTTCGACAAAAGATTATATACCTGCCCTTCTTATGCAGTATCCAAAAGCAAATATTTTACCAAGCATAAGTAAGTTACCGACTCAAAAAGGTATCCTCGAGTCTTATCATGACTCATAGAAATCAAGAAATATGTACAGAAAGCACATAAATAGTTCAACCTTTGTCATGTTCACCTCCATTGACATTCATGGAACTGCAACCAGTTTGCGAAAATAACAAAACCTATCCATCCATATCTCAAGTTCCATTCTTTACATATATTAGGTTACCATTGCAACCAAAATCTTTCCAAATATATCTATATGCTACTTAAAACAAAACTAGATATAATTCCAAGATGCTATACTATACCCTTTACGTAATTCAATACATTATACCTCCTACAGTCGAGGCATGAATGCAGCCGTCCTCAAAGCTCTAAGCTTTCCCCCACTTGTGTTCCTCAATCCTTGCAAAATCTGCAAAACCATCAATAATTATTAAACCCTCAACTCCAAAAATTACGAAACAATTAAGGATCAACATGGAATTACAGAACCATAAATAACACACCTTCTCCATAGTAGCAAAAATTCGGATACACCAGCTATGCCATATCTACTTCTGCAACAAAATATGTGATTCTTGTTCATATATTAACATCATATAAAGCAGCTTAACATCATATAAAGCACGAACACATAGCGCGAATCGAGCTTATACCGTAGTATCATTGACTCTGAATGAGTCAGCAGTAAGCCCTACTAAATACAACCCAGGGAAAACATTCTGCAAACAAACATATCAAGCAGAACATAAGAACAAACAGAGAAAGCAAAAAAGCATAAAACAAACATAAATATGCCGGAGTTTTTCGGGTTTTTTTCCATACATCGAGTTGTTTCTGAATTGTCTTGGATCGTTTTTTGGGTCTTCTAGCGGGTCTTGACCCGGTCATAGAATACACATCTTCTTCAATCTCTTCCCTTGACAGTGAGATCCATAATTTCTTCTTCCCCTTTTTACCCGACCCGACTCCATTTCCATCCGCGTTATCTTTCAACCTCTGCGACCTCTGCATATGATTACTGCTTTCAACTCGCATTTCAACGTTCTTCAACGACGCCGTTTCAACCTTCGTAACACCCCTTCTTGGCCTTAGATTCCATAACTTCACCTCCCCTTCTTCACAACCCACTTCTTCTTCTTCCTCTTCTTCTTTAACCTCTTTTTCATGCTCGTCTTCTCCTTGTAAAGATGAAACCCCATTAGGGTCTGCCTCTGCCTCCGATCGGGGTTGAACCTTCTCAGAGTCAGACCCACCGTCCACGTCGGCGGTTTGGGGTGGGTTATCTCCATTAGACGGCGGAGAATCACGGCGGCGGAAACGGTGGTTAGCATTTGTGTGACTTTTGTTACCCCACTTCAATTGGGGTAAAGAGAAATAGTGCAGAGGCTGAGACTTGACCGGTGCTGCTGCCATTACAAAACAGAGTACTGATGAAAACACCTTTTGGGCTGAAATATATGATGAAAACAAGAAGAAAAGGTACTGTATATGGAAGAATTATGGGGTTTTTGGAGAAGATAAATGACGACGACGGCGCCGGTGGTAAACAAGAGAGGTTTTTTGTAGGAGAAATGGTTGCCTCGTTGTTGTGGGCACTGTGAAATGGAATGAGAAAGCAAGTTAAAAGGGATTATATATGTGATGTAAAAGGGATGGGATATAGTATACGTATAAAATGTGCATCATGTAACCATAGGGTGGGTAAACTATTTATTTCTCCCACTCAATTTATGTGACGGTGTTTGACTGATGAAGTAAAGTAAAATATAATTATTATTTTAAATTATAAATTATTTTTAAAAGAAAATATTTTTAAAATTTGTGATCTAAAAAAAATAGTATAGTTACAAATTGTTTTATAAAGAGTTAAATGAAATATTTGAAGTTAAATTATTATTAAATATGAAAAAATATTATTTTTTTGTCTCAATTTATGTGATGCAATTTGAATTTCAAAAATTAAGCAATTTAATTTTGATCCTAAATTCAGATATAAAGTCTTTTAAGCCTTTTGAAATAAAATTTACATATTTGAAAGTATACAAATGATGATAATTAATAGTTCAGGATATTTAAAAGATCCATAGGTGTATGCAAAAGGGGGTCACCAAGTTCACGTGAACTCATGTTTCTCTCGTGAAATCATATATAGTAGTGTTATACTTTAATTTTTTTTGTTAAATATAGATGTATGAACCCACAATCGAAGTATCATATAATGCAATGATGATTGGTGCACCTCTCAGTGAGATCATAAATTTTATATCTATCTTGTATTATTTTTCTTTCTAAAATTAGATAACACCCCTCTAAGTGGTTATTGGTAGCACTTTTGGCATTTTAATTAATTAATCATTTCAATTTTGGACCTATAGATTTAAAATTTTAATTGTTTTCAATGATACGAACCTAAATGTCAAACTGATTAAATCTACATTTTCATAATAGTGCACCATCATTTAGAAATTCTTGATACGCCTCTAAAAGATATAAGATTAAATTTGAAATTCGAAAGGCATCATATAACTTGAGATGAATGAAATATTTTTTTTAAATTAACAGAAAAAATATATCACATAAATTGAGACAATAAGTATTAAATATATAAATATCTCCCTCCTTTTTAGATAGACTAAAAAGAGTGTCAAAGAATAATTTTAGAGATTTAAGATAATACAATTGACTCCCCATAAGAGCTTCTTGCACTCGTTTATCAAAAAGAAGGGGAAAAATCTAATTTAATTAATTAAAGAGTAAGAAAGATTTAACTCTATAGAAGAATTAATGTGGGAGATTCAAACATTGTGAATTACTATCGGGTTAGTTTATCATCCATAAACTTACACCGTTACACGTATTGGGTATTTTTTATATTATTTATTGTTTAATTATGATAAAATATATTATTTTGGGTAAGCACACAACTTAGTTGGAGTTTCTTTGGACAATTATTAATCTATAGCTATCCTTGGACGTTTTCTTGTTTGAGTGAAGAGAAGTGAAAAAAATGATTCTCAATTTTTAATATTGTATCATATATATCCGCTCCTTATCGATTATCATACTTTACAACAAAAGCTTGCTTAAAGTGTGCAAAATTATTTTTAAGACGTGTCTTGACTCGATTATAGCGCACGACATTGACTTGAGAGAAGAGATAGATTTTAATACTACCATATATATTATCACAATCGACAATCGACCTTCTATTGATCGTTAATTTTACCTCAAAAATTAGCTTAAATAAAAATATTTGTCAAATCATTTGGTATAAATTATCCTGAAGCTCGTTCGAGACTCAAGTGTAACGAAGTCCAAAAAACAATATTTTGATAAGGAAATTACTTTAAATTTCAACAACAATAATATATTGAATTTATTTTCTTGAAGTTTTGAAGAAGATAAAATGTATGAGATCTTATTCATATCTTAAAGGCAAGCAATTCAAAACAATTTGTAAAAAAAAATACAAAAGTGAACAACAACAACATGATCTTGTCAACCTCCCACATCTTTCATCCCCCTTTACATATCAAAATCATTCCAACCTCGCTCCCTCGTCTTGTCTATCACGGAGGTCATTTCTATCTTATCTTGAATATCTTTATCCTTAATTTTATCTCTCCTAATATATACATATTCATCTCAACATCCTCATTTTTATAACTATCTTTCGAACATGAAAACTCTTAATTGACTAACACTCTACTCCATACAACATAATTAACCAAACAATCACCGTTTAAAAATCACCTTCAAATTTTGATGTTACATTCTTATCATAGAAAACTCAAATGCGAACACCCATTTCATCTATCAACACCAATATCATAAATGCCCTCTTCTTCTGACCATATTCATTAGGATCTGGCCATTTCCAAAAAAAAAAAAAAACAGACAAAAATACTCTTGAGAATTTGTGATGCTGACGTGGAGATTGCCTGCATGGTGCTCTTTTGGACTTACTTTGTTCAACAACGTGAAATTTACTAGGATCAGGGCCGTCTTAACCCCTAGGCCACTAAAGCCATCGCTTGGGGCCCCATATTTTTTGGGGCCCTCATTTTTAAAAAACAATTACTTATATATATTTTATTTTTTTAAAATAAATTATATGTACTATGAGTGCTATGATTTCTACTAAAGAAATTGCATATGACATGAATATAAATATAATTTTCGTAAGAAACAATTTGATGAAAATATGGATAACGAAATCACTAAGTCCCTCGAAGAATCTTTAGAGTTGATTACGTTATATATGTAGAGTAGATCAAACTATTTTTTCACTTTAAAATAGATTTGAACCAATTGAAGCATATAAAAATATTTTTGATTTCTTATTTAGTGGTAAAATATTGAGATTACTAGATGATGAATTTTTTTTAAAAATATTGTCTTAACCTTGAACTTTCTTTAATTTTTTTTAAAATATTGTCTTAACCTTGAACTTTCTTTAACACATACTAGTTATTCTGAATTGATGGTTTAGATTTATTTTTTGAAGTAAAAGTGTTAAAGATAAACAATACAAGTAGAAGATAATGATGTAATGAAAATACTCAATCAAATAAAAGATTTGATTCTTTTCCAAATACACATATTGTGTTAACAGTTCATAACCATTGCCTCAACCAAATTTTTCTCCGTTCGAAATTAAAATTGATTAAATTTTCTTTAAGATCAACAATGTCTCAAGATAGATTGAATGAATTAGCTATATTATCATTTGAAAAGGAATTATTAAAATAAATTGATTATAAAACAATACTTAATGACTTTGCATCTGAAATAGGTAGAAAAGTATATTTTAAATAAAAGTACATATGATGGAAAAAAATTAGGGCCCCTCTCTTAAATTTCGCTTTAGGCCCCCAATGTTGTTGAGTCGGCCCTGACTAGGATACAAGTTCCACATATATTTTCGATATAATATATAAATGTATCTTTTTAGCTCCGTCTTAATAAATATTTATATTATTCAACTTTTAATAGGTATAAGCAAGCGTGTAAATTTATATAAAATTATACAAATAAATATATTCATTCTACGTGACATAATACACGTAGAATGATATGGAGAATGTGAATTGCCACATGAAATATCAAGTAAGTAGAATCTATATGTCTACTTATTCTAGTCTGCATAAATTTAAATATATATTTATAACCACTTATAATTTAATTAAAAATATAAATACCACATAAAATCAAATTGAATTACATATTTATATATTATAACTAAAAATAAATCGTAATTCTTTGTTATACCTTAGTTTTGGATTCATAGAAAGACATGATGCCTAGTAAGTCAGCCGATAGATTATGGAAAGGCAAGAAGAAGAAGAAATTCAAAAGGTTTATAATTAGCCCACAGATTGAGTTACCTTTCTCTATTTTAATAATAGTTTCGTTCCAAAATAATTGTCAATTAGCAAAATTCACGCTTATTAATAAATTATATTATATGTAATTTATTTAATAAATATCTTTTAAAAATTGAATATTAATAAAAAGATAAATTATAAGGAAAAATTGTATAAAATAGCAAACTATTCATTCAAATTAAATGTTATAACCATACGGATGGCAATGAGGCGGGACGGATGCGGGGTGGGGTGGGTTTAAGGCTATGTGGAGCGGGGCGGATGCGGGGCGGTTTGAAGTGGGTTTTTAAAAAATTAATGTGGGGCGGGGAGGGTTGCGGGTATATGTTGGTTCAAACTTAATTTTAACTTTTTACATGTTATAAGAGTGATAGAGCATTATTTATTAAGATAATTTCATTAAAGCTACTAAAATATTCAAGATAATAAATGAAAAGGGTTCAATAAAAAATAATACAGTTTTTTACATGTTTTCCAATTGACCTCTAAAAAATAAAATTTTGAGTCACTATCCTATTAAATTAATACAACTTAATGAAAAAATGAATTTATTTTTATGAATTTATTTTTAGTATCAAACATAACTAGAAAAAGAAAATATTAAAAAAATTATGCGGGGCAGGGTGGGACAAGTTGAAAATGAAAAGAGTTGTTATGCGGGGCGGATTATAAATTTTGCGGGTTAAGCTCAACCCGCACCGCCCCCGCCCTACACCACCCCATTTCCATCCCTATATAACCACAGTTTGATTTAATTGTAACTCATAGCAAATTGTTGCCATTCGTCTCTCTCCCTGAAATTCTCGCTCGCCACTCTCGTTCTCTCGCTGGCAGTCTTTCCCTTGCTTCTCTCACTTTTATACAAACACAAATGTATAAAATGTGTTTGTGTTTGTATAAAATGAGAGAAAACTGTATATATACATATTTTTCGTTCGCCTCTCTCCCCAGAGAATCTCGCTCGCCACTCTCCCAGATCTCGCTCGCCACTCTCACTCGCCTCTCTCGCTTTATACAAACACAAATGTATAAATTGTGTTTGTGTTTGTATAAAATGAGAGAAAATTGTATATACAAATACAAATACATATATTTTTGTCATATACACTTACAATTATACAAATACAAATCTTCCCCTGCCCAGTTTTCTTTTGTCTTTCTCTCTTTCTCGCTTTATACAAATACAAATTATACAATTGATTCTTTTGTATATGTATACCGAAACAGATTATA